GGGGGTGGGGGTGGTGGGGAGGGGAAACATCAGCAGTCTGGAATGATGCAGGAAGAGGTCTCAACAATGACGATGACGATGAAGGTGATAATGATGATATTGCAGCAGCAGAAGCGACAACTGCTGATGATGATGATGATGATGTTGCTGTCAACAAAGACGCTGATGAAGAAAGTGGCTGTGTAGGCCACAGGGGTAAGGCAGACGATAGGGACGGAGAATGTTTTCTCACGGTCGTTGTTGTTGCTGCTGCTGCTGCTGATTGTGATGCTGCTGAGGGGACGACGAAGGCGGTGGTGGTGGTGGTAGTGGCGGTGAGGACAGACGAAGAAAATGACGACGAAGAAGACTTGAGCTGCTGCTGCTGCTGTTGTTGATGTTGTTGTTGCACTGCTGAGAACATCGACGGAGAAGACACAGAAGACGGGGAGGGCAGGGAACGTGTGCTGGTGACAGGCCCCGACAAATCCTGTCTGTGGTGAAAACTCTGCTTCGGCCTGGCGCCCCCCCAGTCTCTCTGCCGCGACGACTGGCTCTGAGAGGGAAGGAGTGGAGCGGCCGAGGTAGGAGATGGGGAGGTGAGCGACGAACAAGCAAAACTCTGCTGCGGCTGCGGTTGACCTGACAGCAATAACGACGGTGACGACGACGAAGAGGAACGATGAGGCTGTCCAGTGATTCGGAGACCCGAGTTATCATCAGCCCTTCCCTCTCCGATGCTGTCCGCGCTTGCCAGGCTTTCGCGAGACGTACTCGGATATTTCGACCACTGTCCCTCACCACTCTGGCGTTGATGATAATGATGATGATGACGACGACCAGAACTACTGTCTTTCTCCCCTCCTCCTCCTTGTCCTCCACCTCCTCCTCTCTGCGGAATGGCACGAGGTTTAGACCTCCGCGGCACGCCCGACTCCCCGACCCAGGAGGAGTCAGACACAGACTTCTTTCTCCACCTACGTCCACTCCTCTCCTTCTCTCCATCGTTTCCATCACTCGTTCCACGACCACTACCACTAACACTAGATCTACGCTGGTGCCGCGAATTCTCCCCTCCTCCTCCACTTCCTCGATGATGATGATGATGATGACGACCTTCACCCTCGTAAATATCGTGACTATTTCCCATCCACCGAGGGGAGGGAAGATCTCTCCCATTGGCTGAGTCGGAGAAGGCTTCTCTCAGAATCTGATCGGTGAGATTCTCCGCGTAGATGTCGATGTTGGCCTGCTCAGCAGTGAGGTAGTCGGGGTCGCTCTTCAACACGCACACAGCTTCCTGCACCACTTGTCCCGCAAACAGACTGGCGTAGTCCTGTGTAGTACAGGGGAGGGGGGGAGTGGAAGGGGGTGAGGGGTGGGGAGTGGTTTAGTTTGGGTACCACACACAGAGGGAGAGGGAGGGAGTGGTTTCGTTTGGGTACCACACACACACACAGAGGGA